AAAAAAAAAAAAAAAAAACACTTTTTGCCTTAATTATAACCATTGTCTGATAAAGAGGTGTATCGGTGAGATTCATCTGCATTTCAGTATTCAACGACTATTACCTTTGTGTAAATTCTGTTGAGGTATCCCGCCATTGAACAGGAAGATTTATGCATTGCAAGAATGAGAATGTTTTTCAAGCTGTTTGTCTCTCTAACACTTTTTTTTCCTGATTAGAGAATTCCACTTCAGTTTATTTTTAAAAAGCATGATTCCTGAGTACAACCCTGACTGACAATGAGTCCTGACCTCGCTGTGCTGGGCCAGGTGGGAAAAGCCCGGAGAGACTCAAGAGATTCTTAGCTCCGCAGTGGCTGTTGGTGTTAGAGACTGAGAAAAAAACTACCAATTCTGGATCCCACTTCAGAGACTTAAGAATCCCACTCTAACTGGAATTCTTTCCTTCCCTGCCAAATTCCTCAGTTTCCTCCTTGCTCTCTGCCTTCCACACACACTCAGAAATAGCAGAGCTTGTCCCACTGGAGCATTACTTCATCAAACAAATTGAAAACACTAGCCTGTGCTCCTCCCAAGTGCCTGAATTCCTTCCCAAACCCCGCAACTTATCAGTGGTCACTCCCATCTTTCCAGCCTTCCATACAGTCTCTCCAAGGATGAGGCGTCCCTATTTCAGTTCAAAACCAACTTCTTCCAATTTCATCAGACTCATGTAAAACTATCCCTTCTCTCTTGTGTTCCTTCCCTCCCTAATGGATTCTCCCCCCAGGCCTATAAACATATTTAAATCTGTTCCATACTTATTTTCTAATGACTCTCCCGTTAAATTGCTGTTTTATTTTCCTCCTTTCCTGCTTGTCTTTACTTCCAAAAAAATTAGTATTCTCCTGGAGTCTCCACTTCCTCTCTGTCATCACAGTCCAAGCCTGTGCTAGCTTTATTAGGAATGAAGTCATACACTTGGCCCATTTTAAGTTTGTAATCAACAAAAATCTCTAAGTCATTTTTAATCAGTTGTTACCAAGCTACATCTTCCTATCTTGAATTTCTGCAGTTTATAATTTGAACACAAACAAAAAAGAAAGTTTTTATGATTCCTAACAATTTAATCTTACTGGTTTCTCAATTCTATGGTCCAGCTTTGTGTCATTTCCCATTGACTCAATTCTTTTAAAAAAATTCATCCCAGTAAATTTGAAGATCTAATTGGCTTTATTAAGCGATTCATGAATTGTGTAGCATCCCCTCTAGTAAGGAGAGAGATGCTCTGATGGGCTACAGAAAGGGAGAAGTTTTTAAAGGCAGGACAATGAAGTAATAAAAAAAAAAACATAAAAGGATTATTTCAGATGAGGTCACCTTCATTGGGGAGCAAAAGGTCTTATTAGGTACATTCCTTTGGGGTTGGAGAAGGTACATGTGACATTATCTTATTGATGACCAGAAAACTCAAGACTACACTGTTAAGGAGGTTGAAATTGTAACTGGGTATAAGTATCAGGACCTGGTTCTGTGACTAACAAAGTGACACCATGCTGGGCCTAAACACCATGTGTTTCTTTTGAACAACTCAAGATCAGTTTGGGCTCTAGACCCTCTTGGAGCCTCCAGAGCTTTCCTGAACACTTGGACTACCCGAAGCTGGCCTCACAAGGATTGTACCCAGAGATTCCTGTGAGCCCTTTTGAGAGGTCTGTTAAGAACCCATCTGGCTCTGCCGATAACATTCCACGGAAAGTGCTCTTATTAAAGCCACCAAGAATCTATGTGTTTTTCTCAGTGTGTGCTGAATTACATCATTTCCCTTTCTTTTTTTCTTTCCTTCCTCCTTTCTTCTTCCATTCCTTCTTTCTTCCTTCCTTTTTTTTTCTAACCCACCTAGATCTCTCCACTACATTTGATGATACACATTTCTCCTTTCACAGTATGTCAACTATTTTGGCTTTCCTAACACCTCTTCCCCAAGTTCCTGACCTTCCTCTATCCCTCCTTCCTCATGCCTCTTCAGTGTAGACGGTTCTCAGGGTTCTGCTCTTGGCCCAGTTTTCTACTTCTCATTCTACTTGCTCTTCCACTGTGATCTCATCATCTACCTACTGCAAAGAGATTCCCAAATCATGTGTCCAGTCCATAACTTTCCCTAATGCTTCAGACTTAAAGCCTCTTCCTCCTGGACATCTCCACATGCTAACCATAGAACTTCAAGTCACCATGTTCAAAAACAAACTATTTTTTCATTTGTGCCTCTTCCAATATTCTCTGTTTCATTCATTTATGCATAGCCAGAATCCTGATAGTCCAAAGGTCTTTGGAAACAAGCCAGGGCTTTCTTGGCCATTCACCATATTGCAACTCTTCCATTTTCTATAAACAAATGGATTTGAAAACTGTAACTTAAGTGGACATGGTATAATAAGACTTCTGGTGTTCCAACCCCTCAAGATAATTTATACAAGTTATAACAAGGAACACTGAAGAAAGTAGAAGTGAATAATAGGCTCAGAGTAGGTGTTTCACATTTCCTTTTGAAAAGTTAACGTAATGGTGCCAGATTATAAATGTCTATCTCCAAAATCCCAACATCAAATATCTGAAAATGTATGTCATGGTCTCAACCATCAGCAATGCTAAAATATAGTTGAGAAAAACACATACAATTGAGAAAGATAATTATGCATAACCAAACATTAATAGAAGAGATTGTGTAGGGGCTAAAAGATAAAAGAAAACTGCTTTGGAGGAAATGACAGATCAATGTATACTTAAATGATCTTTGTTGAAAGGATCAGATAGGTGGGATAATTTTTTTTTTAATGTATCACTGATACACAATCTTATGGAAGTTTCACATGAACAACGTTGTGGTTTCAACATTCACCCATA